TCGGGGGTTGAGTCCTTGGCAGCAAAGACGTACCGAGCGGACGGCGGAGACGGCCTTGCTGCCGAAGGCAGGGGTGCCACCCATTGTGTAGTAGCGGTGTTAGCCGTGAGAGAGCTGTCCAGTACTACCACTGGTGTCGGCCCCCGCCCCCAGAAAAAGTCCTACAAGAGAGTCGTGCGGAGAAGGAAGGAGTAGGCGAGAGGGGGGCGAAGTCCTTAGGAGTACCCGAGTATGTTGGCCCAGCCCGGTTGAGCACTTTGGATTCTGAACCCGCCTCAAACAGCAACAAGGCAGCAGCAGCAACAACAACAGCAGAACACGGCGGTGGTGTGTAATGGGGGGTGGCTATTTACCCCCCCGGCTCCGATCCTGGGAACTGGGTGACTCAGCCGCGAAAAAAAAAAATGGCGAACGAGTATCCGCGCGCTTAAGCTTTTGGGGGAGGGAGGGGGGGTCGCAGTGTGGGTAGCCGTAGGTGGTGCTGGGCGTGGTGACCGAGATGCCCCGGAGGAGCATTGGGTAGCTTTGCAGTGTTGGCGAAGTACACGCAACATCGAAGGAGTTTTATTCGCTGCGTCGTGCAGTCGGGTAAGGAGAGAGAGAGAAGGAGCGACATGAAAAACAAAACCTCTTCTATAACGGGCGATGTTATTTTGGGCAACCTCGGACTTTTTGTGGATGCGAGGAGCTGCCGAACTCTTGCAACGGCAGGAGACCACGATCTCGTGGCAGGCGGCACCAAACTGCTACGCCCACAGGTCTCGGCGGCTTGGATGGTTTTCCCGCTTTACGATTACACATGAGCTGGGTGATGACCTTGTTGGATTTAACTCTACGACCTGCGGTGACATGAGAAACGATTGCGTGCCCCACCAAAATATTTGTTGGTGCGCAAGTTGGTCGTTCGTCTTTCCAATTTCCAAAGGCCCATGACTTGCAACGCAGGTTCTTCCCTGTCGATTTGATGTCATCAATTTTTCGTCATCGTTTGCTGTGCACCTCTGGTTCACACCACAAAGGCTGTCCTCAACTACGCGGTAGTATTTCATGAAAAAGGCCGGGCATCTACTGGACAAGGACCACCCCCCTACACCCCTCCCCCCGCTTCTGCTCAGCACAAAAACCAAAAAGTGGGACGAGGGCTCCCTAGCTTTGTTGAGGCACTAGCCAGACTCAGAATTCAGGTGCGTATTGCCCCTACACTGTGTCCTGATGCAGTGTGTACGCCAGGGCCAAAACAACTTCCCGCTAATTTTTCAAACTCTCGCCGGCCAGACCGTCAACACAAGGAACGAGGCTTCTGGTTTCTGACGGGTACCGGGGGGGGGCAAAACAAATAGGTCACACCAATGTCTTCAAGGACTGACGCACAAATGATGCACTACTCGCCATCCCCACACCCACAACACATGTCGCACCTTCTCGTCATTAACACAATGGATGCAGGCTTCTCTTACCCAAACAAGTCCTCCACGATATGCATAACTACACTACAACTCGATACACCGCGTGTTCTCCAAGCAACGCAGCTTTTCGAAAAACACGATTACATGCCAGCGCACCTATGGCCGACGACCTGTCGGCATAAAACAAGCTCGTCCCACATTTATGTCGTACATACCCTTCCCACCCACGATTCGGCCAAACGCAAGTACGCATAGTAAGTGCCTCAGGCCTCTACATGTCACTAATTCTGTCGAAGGTTTTGTTGAGCTTGTTCTGTCGAATCTCGGTTTTCAACCTCTCCCGCGCCTGGCTCCGCTGGTGCGCCCTCAGCATCTTGACGTCCTTCGACCGCGACACGCCTGACAGGCCTCCGAACGCTTTTCTCTCCCCGCGCTGCAACGCCACCGCCCCTCCCGTCGACGTCCCCTTGGACATCTCGGCGTCGTACATTGCCCCGAGTCGCAGCCTGGCCGCCCTCCTTTGTGCCACAACCACGTCGCGCTCGTCCGGAGTGCGAAGCCTCTGCTTGTAGTACCTGTGACGTCACGTTGGGTGTGGGACGTGCTTTCGGTTTCCAAGTGATACGTGTTGCTTTGTTTGTGTTCTTCACCATATGCTCGGTACATACGTGACACCATCGACTACGCTCTCCCCTTCTTGTCGGGGCACCCTGCGGACTAATCAGCGTGTTCGTGGTTTGGTCCGCTCAGTGACTGTCGACAATTAACTGGTTGGAGGTTACGCAATGTCCATGCAATGGAGCATAGCACGCTAACGAGACATGCCCGTCAAAGAAACAAACGATAAGCAGTTGGGTACGTTCGATCCGGCACAGTACTACAGAATTGCCCGGAGATAAGAAACGTCGCGATCGGCAGGAGGCTCAGTTTCTTATTTGATCGCCACTGTCTAGCGCAGGTTGTTGAATGGAGTTTTGAAGTCTAGATCCACCGCTGAGCTGTGTTTCTTGAGCGCGAAAAATTAAGATCTGTTTCTTAAACGAAATATTTCCTACCTGGGGGCCCGTTCTGTTACACCGACACATCGTATGCATACGAGGGGACCGTGACTGTATGAACCTCAAATTTTACCTGTTCCACTTGCGGTTTCCCACGGTTTTCCCGTCCAGCAGGACGAGCTCCCCCAGATCCGTAACACCGAGCGTGCGTGCAACCTCGACCGATTCTCCGTCGCTTTCCTCTCCGCTGTTTTCAGCGGCGGCGGCAGCAGCAGCAGCAGCAGCATCAGCATCAGCAGCAGCATCGCCGGCACCGGAGGCGTTTGCCGCCAGGAGGCCGCTCTTCTCGGCATCCAAGTAGGAGGCGGAGAAGTCGTAGAACGACTCGTACTCGTGCAGGTCTTCGTCCTCGTCGTAGAGGAGCTTGCAGTGCGCCCGGTCGATCATGTGCTGCAGCCGTGAGGAGTTGCATAGATACACACGTCAGCGCAACCTCCTGCTGCTATGAGCGGAGATGGAGACTCTACAAACAACCGGAGTGAAATTGTCCAAGTACATACTAAATAGCTCTTCGTAATGTTTGAAATCAAAATAAAATACTAGCCCGGGGGATCATTTACAAGTTCTTCGGTGCGGGGTATCTACTCTCTGTGTGGCATCAATTTCGTTAGTGTAGGCAACCGGAAGTTGGGGTGTGGTGCGGGGAAACGGTAAGGTCCGCGGAGACGGACGCAAGGTTTTCGTGGAGAACACCACCATGAAAGTGCAACGAAAGCGGAATCCACGCTACAAAACGGTCATATTTCGGGGTGGTACTTCTCTGATTGCATTTTTCTAAAACCAAGGTGTGGCCAACGACGAAAAAAAAAGTTCTCTCTGACGCGGCGCGACAGGTCAGGATTTTCTCTTCACACACCTGCTGCACCGCCCGGTAGGTGTGGAAAGTCTTTCCCTTCCCGTTGCAGTAGAGGCAGATGAATCCCAGCTTCACCTTCTCCTCCACGTACGCGACCAACCCTTCCGGGTCCTGCAAGTACTCCACGTCCGGGATGAAAAACCTGGGGGAAAGTTTGTACACGACCGAACGGGTCAGCGCTCATTGGAAGTCAGGCAGTATCGAGGCACTATTACCCTACCATGCTGTGACACCGCAAAGGTTATCGTTGCAAGAAAATGCGCGAATCGTTTTTGGCCTCCCTCCGCAAGGCATCTACATCAAGCGAACCATGAACATACATTTCGCCACTCCTCCAAAAGCTTTCCTCTTGTCGCAAGAACGCCGATACTCAGCGAAGGGGATGTGTACCGGCGGATGGTACCTCGTCCGGTCTGGCTTGACTGGCAACGGGATCTGACTTGCGGTGCCACGGCTCTGGGAGCCACCTTTTATATTGGAAATGAAGGTGGCTCACCAGAGCCGTGGCACTTCAGGTCAAGTCCTGTTCCAAGTCGAGAAGCCAGACCGGATGAGCTACGACCCGCCGGTACAGTACACAAGCGCTTCGCTGATACAGGGCAGCCACGGGTTTCCAAACAAAATCATGCACGCGACCTCTGGTATGTCTTCATCCGACTTGGGGTTCGAAACACCTAGTAGGAAAAACACATGAACGAAATGAGTGCTGGCGCTCGAGAGTGTCGTGAGACCACCCACCGCCTTCCTCATGAACGAATTCCAAGCCGGGTCTTCCAATTACGCCGCCATCATTGCCGTCGCGGTTCCAGAGGAAGATGGCAGACAGTGCGATGGCGTAGTGACTTCACCGCCGCACACAACAATAAACAATGGCGCCAGCCTTAAATTAGCCACCTTGCACCCCCGTTGCACAAAAGCCGAAATATCTCCTCGTCCCAACTTACCCGTGGTGCCGTAGCATGTGGGCGCAGTTCTCTTCGAAGCTCGGCGACACGAAGTCGCAGAAGATGCACACGCAGGGACCCATTGGGGGTGGTGCCAGCTCTTCCTCCTCCTCCTCTTCCTCCTCCTCCTCCTCTTGCGACATCGCATCTTTTTGGGGACTACCGCCACGAAGCCCGCTCTTCGATGGCGAAGCAACAGCCGCAACCGCAGAAGAAGCCCCGGCACCGCGAGTACCATTGCCGCTTTTTTGAAGAACAGCAGCCTCGTCGTCGTCGCTGCCAGCGCCTGCGGGGTCAGAGGAAGCGGCAGCGCCCCCACCCGCACCATCGGTTGGCGATGCTGCCGTCGCTGCCTGTTTCGCTACCGCTGCTGCGCGCTTTACTGCTTCCTTGTGCTTCTTGGACTGGAGGTGCTGCTTGTACCTGTTGGGTTTTGTGTAAGCGAGGGCGGGAGGTTAGCGGAGACGAGGTTCATATCTACATGTAGCTGCTACCCTAAAGTTGGGCGGCGGACGGCCAAAAGCAGCGCAAAGCATTACTAAACCGTCCACTTCGAGAACCGCGGGGACGAGGATGCTTTCATCGCCAAGCAAGTAAGACAGCAAGGGGGGCCAGATCCAGCATTTCAACGCCCAAGTGTGGCAATGGCCCATCGAGACCAACGGAATTAAGGAATAATAAAAACACACACAGAAAGACTACCCATTCGAGATATACCCACAGTCGAACAGGATGTCGTGGAGTCTATCTTTTCTTTTTTTTTTCCATAATGTGACACAACGAATCCATCTCTATCATAGAAAAGAGTCAGAGACAGATTAGCAATGAATTCATAGCGTCAGAAAAAGCTACCTGTGTATGTCTACGATTTCCCAGACAGCATATAGGGACATCTCCCCTGCGGATAACAGGCTCAACAAAACAGTTTGGTAGCTGTCTTGTGTGTCTCATATATGTTATGCTGGGAAGGTGTAGCAGAAAGGTGTTGGGTACTGCTGTTGGGTAGTCTTTCTCTCTCCCATCGGCAATCGGCAACAATCGCACCGCCCGTGTAGGCGAGGGTCTAGAACACCGCCTGCTGACCTGACGGAATCAGGGTTACGCTTTGTAGGCAGAGAGGTAAAAATTACTCACAACGTGTGACGACCAACAATCAACTAAACGATGGTGTGCGCTACATACATGGCGAGGTCTGGCTCCACGAGAGCGTCACACGGCCACCACAATCCGGCTCTCTTCCGCTCTTCACACACCACTGGCAACATGCTTCCTGCAATAATAGGTGCAAGAGGGCCTCAGCCATACCATATAGCAAGCAAGGCTTGCTGACATTCACTCACAGGCCTTCACTCCTGAAGCTCTTGCGGCATTCCAAACATCTCGCTTGGAAGTCCGCCTTGGGGGCGTCCGGCCCAAGGGCAGCCGCGAGGAGTCGGTCGAAGCCGCCCTGATCCACCGGTGCAAGTCCGGCGACTTTTCGCCGCAGGTTGTACCTGTGCCAGTCGAGCTTATAGTGCGCCTTGTGCGCCTCCGACGTCGAGAACGCAACTGCGCACGCGGTACAGGTTAATGTGGAAGGCATGATTCAAGAGCAAAGCGTCTCCTCCACGCAGCAGGCTCTCCAGTCTCTCTGGTGCTCTGTCTGTGTGTGGTCTGTTCAGCCGTAGCCCCAGAGGCTCCGCGAAATGATGGCTAAAGGGAGTTCGATATGTTCCAACCGGAGGCATTGTCCCGCATTTTTGAATATCAGCTGCGGATCCCCCTCGCCCACGGTTTGCGGCTCACATCCTCCATTCTCCGGTGGTGGGACCTTTAGCTGCGCGTCACGCAGAAGCCTCCTTCAAGGTAAGCCAGGTCTGCTGCTACTTCTGTTGTGTCCTGCCGTGGTTGGCAGCGTGGCTGTGTGATTCCATTCGTAAAAGTCTCGAGAGAGGTGTGTGCCATTGGTTCGTGAGAAGCCTTGCCTGTGGGCTGGGTGGATGCTGAGGCTTGCTGCGGCTAGAGATTGTGCTAAGAGGGTCCATGAGAGGCTGGCGATGTGTTGGTGATGGACCCAGAAACTGAAGACAGATGAGAAGTTGTGTGGGACTCGCTTGCCTCTCGTGGTTGGTGTTGACCATAAACAAGCACACAGCATCCCCTACGATTGTACTCTTGTGAGTGTGCCAATGGCCCAGTGTCAACACAGCCAGCAGTTAGCAGCAATGCCTGCACTACAGCAGTACTGTACCAGCATTATGTTGTCCTTGCCATCAGCATGGGGGCATACCCTCTGTGTCGGTACGCTGTATCGTTGTCACCTTTGTGCAAAAAACAACCTGAGCAATACTACCTGTGTACTGCTGGTGAACTTGAGTGAATTAGACTGAGAGTCACAATAATGTGGAGGTTGTCGCACGCAGAGCTCGTGTTTGGTCGTGTCTACTTTGCCAGCCCTCCCGCAGTGCAGTTGGTTGGGTGTCCTCGCATCCATTATACGTAGACTTTTCCTTTTCATGGCCGCTGTCCTATGCGTGTGGTCGATCTTTGCTCACTTCTCGTGATGTTCAGCAAGTACTGCTGTATCAGACGTACTGGCCTGGCACACGTTTTTCTCTACGATACCGTAGGGTTGCATGAGACACTGAAGTACACCCCCTGGACCGTTTTCAATAGCACGATTGCCCCACGACGAGGAGTATGCGAAGATCAAGGCATGCGTTTTTGGAAAAGGTCTCGATGAGACGGTTCCAACGCCACCGTTAATTGGCACCCTCATTGCTACATTGCTGCAGAACAATCGAGCTCTAGAGTCGGTCCAGGGGGTGTGGTATCTTGTGCAACCTACGCCCCGAACGGCGTCAGAGAGATAGGGGGAGATCGTGCATGCTTAGAGAAGAAGATAGACCCCGATATATTTGCGGGCTCCTTCTCTCCTCTGCATTTTGCTACCATACCAGATGACCCCGTGGGTTTCCTGCACAACCGGGGGTGGGTTCCGTATACCAGATTAGTTCTGGTATGATACATACAACCGACCATCGTTGGGATGTGTTGTGGCGTAGGTGATGTCGACAATGCGATAGTTTGCCCGCTGATAACCCCTGCGGCGTTATGATAAATAACGGCACATGGAGAACCTTTTGGGAGCTCTCAGCAGGAGCACCTCGATGCTGGAACAGCAGTACAGTCCGAAACATTTGCAGCGGCACCCTGGCGACCTACGGCAACATGAAAAGCAGGGTCCAAAGAAAGACGGCGTAATGCACAACACGCGCCGAAAAGTGACCCATCTTTCATACGGCAAAGTTTCTTCTCAAGAGAGAGACGGTGTGACGAACGGCGGAGGTCGATGTTATCGTGTCTACCTCTTTCTCGTTTTGTACATCCCTGTCGATGTTCATTTTCAACTATCGTCTTCCCGTCCTTTTTTTTTGTACCCCAACAATTTGACAATGCAGATGGTGAAAATGGGGGTGCTCGCCGACACTCTGAAGACCATCTCCAACGCGGAGAAGCGCGGGAAGAGGCAGGTGCTGATCCGGCCATGCTCCAAGGTTGTGGTCAAGTTCCTGCAGGTTATGCAGAAGAACGGTGAGACACAACCGGCACGAACACGATCGGAGTACCAACCAACTGAACGCAGAGAGATGTGTCGCGGACTCGTTGTCCCAAAAATGTTTGTTCTCGTCCGCTCATCAGAACAAAATGGCAGTAGCAACAGACAGCGCAGAGATGTCGCGAAACGCTCTGCGTGGCGGGCAGTATGTGCTCTCGTTCGCGTGTCAAGACAACGTTGCAGCAAGAACACCAACACACACCGCGCGGAGATGCGAATCGCGGAAGACGCCTTCGTTGCAACATGTGTTCGTCCTCTTGTCAACACAATATATCGCAATATCAATTACCACAAACAGCGTGGAGACGTTACGAAAGACTCCCCCGTGTCGAGGAAAATATCCCCTCTCTCTTGCCTAGTTCCACGGGAAGACAGCGACAAAACCAACGGATGTTTGTTGGTGATGACTGAAGGTCTGGCGTTTGTGCACAAGAGTTTTTTTATGGTTCGTTGGCCTCGTTATGCAGAGAACGGCGGGTCGCGGACACCAGGAGTTGTCTTCCTCGCGCGTTGCATTCTGCTGCAACAACGTTCACGTGCCATCCGACCACGGCAGCCATTTTCTCAGAAGACGCACCATTCTGCTGCAAAAAAGTTCATGTGCCATCCAACCACGGCAGCCATTTTCTCAGAAAACGCACCAATCCCTCGCCACTCTATTTTGTACCAAGCCTTTAGGCGAAAATACGGCGCCAACACTCGAGTGTACTGAACGACACAGACAACGCCAACCATTCGAGTATTGAATTCATTCCTGTCTGGTTTCAATCGATGGATACAAGTGCGGGCAAACGCACAAGTGTGCTATCGACTTTCAGGATCGATTGCTCCGCAACCAAGCGACAAGATGGTGATACTTTCAAGGAAAGCTAGCTCTCGACAAGACGTGCCCCAAACTACCCTTTTTGGCTTCGGCAACCTGTTGGTTGTGGAGCAATCGATCCTCAAAATGGATCGCAAATTTTGGGGTCGCGCACACTTGTACGGTAACGCATCAAATTGGTTTTGCTGATCGATTGCTTAACGACCAAGAAACAAGAGGGTGCTATCGAAATCCGACGGATACGTTCAAGGCAAGCTAGCTCTCGACTAGATGTGTCCAAAACCACCCTTTTGGGCTTTGGCAACCTGTGGGTTGCAGCAACGGAGTCTATGAAGTCGTACACCTGCATCCACACTTTGCTGGAAACGCGTCAAATAGGTTTTGGTCGCCATCGTAGACTCGTGATGTGCACAGCATCAAGTACGGCGTGATGCCGGCATTACCTCCTCAGATTCCCAGCCTGTAGCTGTTGAAAGCTACCGGTGTTGACGCTAGCTCTCGGCCAGTGCTTCTTTCCTCCCGCCTGTCTGTGGCAGAGGTTAGCGGTGGCGAGCCCTGTTCACCATGCACTACACCACACAATCGCAAAATTCAAGACGCAGAGCAGCCGTGATTCCTTTAGTCGTGTCGACGGGATGTCTGTCTCCTTGAGGGACGGGCAGGCGTTTGGTTTACGAGGAAATTTCTCCGCGTTGGTCGGCCGCTGACCCCAAGTCAACAGCTGCTGCCTGCGTGAGTCCTAGCCCATAACGCGCTTACACGCCATCTATTCTGGTGGTAGATTTGTCTCTGTTCTGTGGCATACATTCGTGTATGCATCCAACGGGGCCTTGCTGCGCTGGGCGTTTGGCCGTCGTGTCTATTGGTTTTAATGTTCGTCTTCGCTTGCATTCATCAATATTCTTGGTCGAGAAAGACATGCAAGCGGTCCTGTGGGCCCTTTCGACGCTCTGGGCATTGAACTGATGATGGATGTTTGGGGGCTGTGTCCGCGGACGAAGTGTTGATTTCTGGCCCAGCGGACATTTTATTTGTTCGCAATTCCGTCGTCCGCTTCAGGAGATGCAGACATGAAAGTATATGCACAGCTGATGTGGACCAAGGGTCCTATTAGAACAGGACATCTAAATCGAAGGGTGTGGACCATACCCATATCCCCCCATTCGTATCATATCATATGTCGTGCATAAAGACCAACTTCCTCTCATGACTGCACACCTCAACGCCTTGCTCACAGTAGTTTATGACGGTATTATTGTGGCATCGGTTATATGTAACGCATTGCTTGCGTTGTACCTGCCTTGAAATGTCGAAGAATCGTAAAACCTTGCTTCTCAGACTCAACATCGTTGGGGACTGGACAATGGATGCTGCTCCCGCACCCAATCAAATGGTTTGCTGAACTTCCTCTTTTTTTTTTTCTTCGTTCCTTTTGTCTTGCCAGGCTACATCGGGGAGTTCGAGATCGTGGACGACCACCGCGCGGGGAAGATCGTTGTAGAGGTGAGAAGCTATGTACCACACCAGTTTTTTTCCCAGCCTCAACCTGAAGATGCTACGCCAGCCTTGCCGAGGCTGTTGCTGCTGTTTCGGCAAGCAGTGGATGCGAGCCTCGCCGGGACTGTTAGTTTTGCCGCTCTTGAATCAAGGACCCTGGAAGTCGAGATTACTCGCGTGCTAGTATGCTCCCTGTTTACCGGCTTGTGTACTCCTCTGAAATTGGAGACTTTTGTTGATCTGCTGGCGGTGTGTGTGTTTTGCCCCAGCGGGTCGCACGTGCTGTTGTGCTGTGTCCATCAATTATCGATTGCGCGATATGTTTTGTGTTTTCCTTGCTGACCAGACGTGTCGTGATAGATGCCATGTCCTTCCGTGTTCTCGCGGCGAATAGCTCTGATAAATTCTCATCGGCTGATCGTGCGTGATCTTTGACGGTATCTCCTGTTATTTCTGTCCGGCATTTGTTTTTGTAACGTATGTTTGTACAACGTTTGTGTTGTCAGCTGACCGGCCGTATCAACAAGTGCGGCGTCATCTCCCCCCGGTTCGATATGCCTCTCCAAGATGTCGAGAAGTGGGTAAACAACCTGCTTCCCGCACGTGGGGTGAGTGAGAGCGAGAGGACGAGGGTCATTCTTCCTGTTTTTCTTAGCCGCTTGATTGAGTAACACACTCCTGGATGTATGGCAGTGGTGCCGGCTGTCGTAGGATCGTTTTCGCTGCTTGCAGAGAAGGGATAAGTGATGATGCTCCATAGAGATCTGACACCTCTTGTTTGAGGGTCAAAATGACCTCGTGAACGCAGCCTTACAATGAAACTGATATCCCTTTGACACGCAGCCGAGTCGACTCATCCATACACTTTCACCCTCCTGAGGGAGTATACCCTGCAATTTGTAGGTGTAACGTATGACTCTCATCGCAGTTTGCGTTCTTGGATCCTTCGTTGGTATTTTTCCTCCCGAGAATGGAATCAAGTAGTTAGTTGTGTCCAAGTTTCTCCCTTGCAATATACGGTCAACTCTAGCCATTCCAGAGGTCATGTACAGATACATCGGCTTCCCACGTAGGCAGAAACCTGAGTTCTACAATCAATTCTTGCGTTGTTCAAGCGTAAACATGAACGTTACAATATTCCGCGAAACCAGTTAAGTTCTGTTTGAAACCTGTTTATCAATTAAAGACAATAGCTGGGTTTTGGGGCGGAAGAAAAGTGGTGTGGGCTTGGGCGTAGGTGATGTCACACCTTGGACCGGTGTGGTTATCAATCGTCCTCGCCTATGGCTGGTGGTCCCTATTTCGGGTAATTGATGATGCTCCATAGAGATCTGACACCTCTTGTTTGAGGGTCAAAACGACCTCATGAACGCAGCCTTACCATGAAACTGATATCCGAGATGGAACCACAAGCTCTCTTTTTCACTCGACTTTTGTTGTTGACCTTTTTTTTTTTTGCTCGAATCTCCTGATCAAGACTTCTAAAGTACGCCCTTCTGACTAAGGACACATTGTCCTGAATTTGGCGTAGTGATGTGTTGGCTGAGAAAAGCTTATGTCGAGTTGTGGATAGCTGATGATGCTCCATAGAGATCTGACACCTCTTGTTTGAGGGTCAAAATGACCTCATGAACGCAGCCTTACAATGAAACTGATATCCACAACACCTTGTTATTTGAATTACACATAGTAGGTCTGGAACCTGACTGTGCGGGCGGCCATGTATGGCGCAGCCACGCAACCAGCATAGTTCCGAAAGACATTCGTGTGCAATGTTATTGTGTCTGTAACGTGATTAATGTAAAGTGGTGAGCTCCTGCAAAAGCATCACCAATTGTTCGGTCGGAGTTTTTTTTTTTTCTGTGTTTTCTCGGACGGTTGAGATGGTCAGCCTTTCAGATACGCTAACTTCCGATAGCGGAACACCTCAAACGTCCGACAGCGGAACACCTCATCCTCGTTTGGTTCTTCTTGGCGTGTTTTTCTTACCTTCTTTGTCCGCCCCGTCTAGCTACGGTCCAGCGGGTGTATGGATGCGGACTAGGACACAGTTTCTTGGAAATTCCGGTGTAATGATGTTTTGTCGTGATAAAAAACGTGTATAGAGATCCTGCGGTATCGTGGATAAATGATGATGCTCCATAGAGATCTGACACCTCTTGTTTGAGGGTCAAAATGACCTCATGAACGCAGCCTTACAATTAAACTGATATCCACATCAAAGGTACATGTTTGTCGCTCTATTTCTGATTTACAACGATGTCAAGATGTTTTTCGGTTACGTCGGAGTAGGCGCCAGCACTCACGCCAACCGATCGGACATTTCGTCTCACCCACCTTGTTTTCAGTAATAATGTTTTTCTGGTCTTGTTGGTGCAACCAGCAGTGAAATCGTTATTTTCCCCGTGGGTCACGTCAGCTTATATACCTCAATTTTTAATTTTTATTCCTCTCCCGTTTTGACTTGTTTGGTCGTTTTTGTGTCCGTGCCGTTTCGAACGAAAACAGTTCGGACACATCGTCTTGACGACCACGTTCGGCATCATGGACCACGAGGAGGCGCGCCGCAAGCACACCGGTGGCAAGATCCTCGGCTTCTTCTACTAACAACCTGTTCGCCGTAAATTCCAGGGCAGCGGGGGGCGTGACCGCTACGGGCGGGAAATCACTGCTGCTGGCCTCAGGATCGATCGCGTGTAACTTTTGGAACGAGATTGTTTCATTTTGCATCCGTTTGCCGTTTTTAGCCTCTGTTTTTCTTTAGCTGATGGGAAGGCAGTGCGTTTTTAAGGAACGGCGGCGGCGGTTGGTTTTTGAGCGCCACTGTTGTTGCGACGACCGTGCGGGGGAAAGGGAGGCTTCTAACCACCAGCGTGTGGACCGGAGAAAATAAAAAATGAAAATAAAAAATTACAAACACTGGTCCATGTCATACACCACCCGCATGTACCATACTTGTAGAAGGTGGCTGGCGTGATTGTGCCACTTACCCGGCGAAGCATCAGAATATCCTCGCTCAAATGAGCGTCGTGCGGAATGCGGTGCGGCACCACGGTACACAGAACAGCAGTTGGGACCTGCTGAGTGCTTTTGTTGCAGTCTTGGAAGCACTGGAAGCGCATATGGTGTGTGAGGTGTTGTTCCAGTTTCCGACCCCCTGATCCTACTCTTTGACATTTTACCAAAGAAGGGGAGGGCTGTTCTGTCGGGTGGACGAGGACGATAAAACGCGCTCTCGGACAGCGGGCCGTCTGCGTCTCAAAATTTGCTCCAGTTCTCATCTGGCAGTACTTGCTGCAAATCCTCCATCATGGCACCACCCTTCTATCGGTTTGCTGAACCGTGGGCATCCAAACAAGACTGAAACATGAAAATAGGTTCGTCGAAAACTGTATGTGCTGGTGCGAGTTTCTTCTGTTTCGGCAAAAGCATCTTGCCTTAATTTTTGTGGTCTTGGGACAAAGGTACGGTCTTGTTGTAGTTTGTGTCTTCGGTCATTTTCCCGTCGGCAATGACGGCAAACAGCAAGTAGTGTGAAGATGAACGTGCGTAACGGGACAACTCTATTTAGAGCATGTAGGCAGAGGCCACGTCCAGGCCGCGTCCAGGCCTCTCCAACGAGAGGACACAGTACAGGAGGAATGATTCCAAATAAGCTGTTCGCTGCCTTTACCTGCCGTGGATCACCTCGACGGTCCGCCGTTCGTCTTGCACTGCCGCCGCCGCTGTCACTTCAAAACAGAACGGGGCTATAATGTTGGGTGCAATATTCCGGTACTCTCGTCTTGGATATGGCGGAGAATGCCGACGAACCATTGCGTCCAAGAAAGTAAAGACACGACAAACCAGATCACGATTGATTGCTATCATCATCGCTCAATGAAAAGAACGGGGAAGAGACCATGCCTGCCTTCGGTCAGAGTGAGGTCCGTGGAGGCATGTGTACAACCAAGCATGGTGTTTCTCCACAGAGAACGTCGTCGTTGGTTTGTCTCTCGCGCGACGGAGGCGTTGTTGTTTTTTCGCCTCAACACCAACAACAGCAATAAATAGAAGGAAAATGATCGGGACCCATGTATCGAGGCACTAGTGATCGATCGTGTTCGAGCGTCGCCGGGCGTTTCTCTGATTGATCGAGATAGCGTCAAAGAGCTCATCCCAATCAAAGACGAGATATACAGCTGTCTCAATACGCGGTCTCGCATGACTTCATGTGTCCCCCCCATGTTTTCTCGCTAAAAACGAGATGCAACAGGACATCCGAGAGGGACGTCTGGGTCGTTGATTTTTCCGTACATCTTAAAAGTCACCAAATAAATGCGGACACATTCATCTACCATGATCCAATGTGACCAGTAGGCTTGTCCCTCGCAACACAACCAAAGACAGCCTACACTACAGCCACCCATACGCAATATGCGCACGAAAGTATTGCCCGACATCACGTAAACACTCATCATAAGTGTTCTAAATTACAAGCACGACCCCTTCGAGAAGACAGCCCGCACCTTCACCACAGTTGTCTGCCAAGGCAGAGAAACTCACAAGAATTCAGAAAGTCATGCCCTCTCTTCATACAGAGAGCCAACCTCATTGTAGTATATGGTACAACATCAAAATCACCACACCTCCAACACGTAAAAAAAAAACGGACACACGTGTATAACATCACATCGACCGCCCACAAATGAGCAACCGGCATCTACCGTTCAAAATCGATCGGTCTCGGATGATCCTTCTTGCAGCACTACAAGTACAGCAGCGCCAACACATTTTCACCCGTGCTCTCTAACCTCATGCTTGCTAGAGAAGCAAACGAGAGCCGAGGTAATAAAAACATGTCTCAACAACGTCTTTGCTTTCCCAAAAGGAAACGTCTGTGTTCAAAAAATCGTGCTTTCCCGGAAGGAAAAGTCAACATGTTCAAACAACGATGATCATGCTGATGTGACTTCTTAGGAGGTCATGAGGGCGTCGGGGGACACCCAGTTGGGGCTCTCGTCGAGCTCCACCCGCATGTTCTTGGCCTTAGCGCTCGAGATCCACTCGTTGATCTTGCCGGTGCCCGACAGGAACTCCCTGAACACGGAGCCCTCTGGCGCGAGGCTGGTGAGCTCCGGTACATCCTTGGGCAGGCACACGCCGCCGTACGGCGCGCCCACGCGGAGGCCGTACTTGCGGCTGAGGAAGCACTCTGCCGTGGAGGACACCAGGTAGAGCACCTTCTGGGCGTCGATCGAGGGGTCGAGCTCGTGGGCGAGGCCGTAGATGCAGTTGGCGAAGGAGATCTTGAGCCCGTTCGCGTAGCTGTAGCACGTTAAGGACGACGGGATGCAACGGGGAACAGGGGAGCAGGGTCAGTATCGTCATCATTGCGGCGCCGGTTCATGTATCGGATCGAGTGCTGGATGGAGGACAAATCACCGCCGCAGTTATTTCTTACCAATCAGCGAACTGCGTGCCACAAAACATAGGGTTAGGGTTAGGGTTAGGTACATAACTTTACAGGGGACAGAGTCAATCATGACAATACAAAAACAGAGGGGGCTCAACACCTCGGGTCATAAACATGGTGGCAACGGGGGCAAGGTCACATTTTTCGTTGGCTGCAACGCACGGTCGGACCTATCACCCATGGGGGCCATGGTTGGTTCTCCAAATGATTGGGGGGTGTGTTTGTTGACCGAATGCCAACAAGAGTAATAGTAAATATATCGTTCATGTTGCGTCCCCAAAACACTAGAAATAAAAAATATCCCAAACGAAAAACAAACCACACCCAACTAACAACTATTGTGTCCCTTAAACAATATACCCAAGACAAACACACCCAACCCTTTATCAATAAATTACATCTTGTATTGAATGCATGCATTTGCACGTGCACACACTACCTCCCCCAATTTTCATTTGAGGTGTTCGGGGAAGCAGGGGGAAAATGGCGGAATTTTTGCACAGCGTATTACTGTAGTAATGTATGCGTACGGCTACAACATGGCATCATCAATGGTTGGCGTAAACACACATTTATTAATAGATAAAAAAAACAATCATTGGCGGTTGCTCTCACTTGTGCACGAGCTTCATGAATTCGGCCTCCGCGATGTTGAGCACGGTGAGCTTGGACTCGTCGCGGCCGACGAACTCGAGGAACGCGTTGGTCATGCGGGCCCTCACGTCCTCCTCTCCGGGCATGTACCCGAACACCACCTGCCATGGCGCCCGGGCGTCCTCCTCGCAAGAGACGGCGCGGAGGAACTCCGGCTGGAAGGCTACGTGGAACGGCTTGTCGGTCTTTTCCTTGACGGCCGCCATCCACTTCTTGGTCATGCCGGGGGGCACGCTGTTGTGTTGAGAACGCGTAGTATGACAGCGCGGAAGTGAGGGCGGCATAGCAAGCGAGTTACGGAGATGATGGTTATTGATGGAGGAGGAAGATGCACGATACTCCGATGCGATGAGTAGATGTGATGCATAGTCTTGCATACGTGTTATTAGTTATTAACAAGACACGTCTAGCTCGAAGGTGTATCAAACGATGAACAGGTATGCTGCAACCTTTGGAGTTGGCCGACCTCGAGACCTGAGAGGGGCTGGCATGACATCAAACCGGGAATTGTTCCATCCACTCGTTTTCGGGATAATTACGTGCTGGTATGCTACATACGTTCTTTTAAGAAGAACCGCAGCGATGGAACAATTCGACAATCGGCGCAAGGATACCAGGACACGACAGCCGCGTTTGATCATGCCACAGGCGCGGGCAAGCAAGGCTCCTTGCCGCTAGCCATCCCGAGCCGCGAGTTAATGCTGCCAGCTGCATGAGTCGGACACATCAACCGCTCTACCGCTCAACACGGGATATCAACCAGATGCAGATTAGATGTGGGTCTGCACGTCTGTACAGCCTACACGAACAATCGACACACACACGATGTACAAGCATCTCTACTCGAACCTGTATGCATCAGGGGGGCTACAGCAGACAACCCGATGCGAGAGATATTGTTGGCAGTGCAAGACAGGAGATATACCGGAGGCAGTAATCCTTCTTACAGCAGTAGTCTGCTGCTGTACCTTCGGCCACAAGCACGCGCAACAAGAGCGATGATGTGACAGAAATAAACCGAAAGCTCTGATTTGATGACTACATACAGCAGTAGATCTACACTCACGTGGATCGGATCACGAAGATGGGCGCGATGCCGGTGGACTGCTCGATGAGCTTGACCACCAGGGGGACGGTCGACCAGACGTACTTCATGTCGAGGCGCTGGGTCTCCTTGATGAGCGGGGTGGGCACCGACAGGAGGACGATCTCGGGGTTAAGGTCGTTGGGGCAGTTGTCCGGGTGGCAGCAGGGGATGCCGGCGGCGTTCATCTTCTCGATGATGGCCGGCACGACATCGAAGCCGCGCACCTCGAAGCCGTGGTGCTTGTATGCCTTGGCGTAGGCGCCGCCCACGACGCCGCAGCCGACCTGGATGATGGATTCCTTCTTGCCGGAAGCGGCAGACCTGGAAGCAGCGGTGGCAAGAGAGCTCATATTTTCTTGGGATGGAGGGAGAAAGAAGGTTGTTTCCGGAAGAGGGGGAGAAGAGAAGACTGTTGTCGTATGACGACTTGGAGCTGGGAGTAGTGGTAGCTTGTCTTGTGGAGACGTGGAGGAGTAGGGAGTTGCTTGTCTTGTGAGGACTTGATGGGGTAGCTTGTGATTGTGGCAAGGGTGGGGCAGGTGGCGGGCGGGGGAGGGGCGATCTCGTCTCCTCCATCTAATGCGGCGTAATTAGCGCTGACCAATCAGTTTAAATGTACTCGGAAAAAAGAATCGTTCACCTATAGAACTGTCGAATCAGATTCCGAAAAACATCTGTATTTAATCCTCTTCCGGTTTATTCGCATATCGCTCATCTCAGCCGGCCAGCTGCTGTGAGTGATCCCGGTGATTAGAACATAAATAGGTATTACCCTTGAAAAGAAGCAGAGGATGAGAGAGTCGAGAGTCGAGAGGAGGACGGACAGAACAGTTGTTTTCCAGAATACACGTCATTCATCAACCGAGATATCACATGGATGGTGGATGGATGGTCAAACATTCGGCGGAAGGTAAACCAGCAGGAGAGAAAGAGAATTCCACGACCGCTCCGAATAGACGTGTTCGGAATATCTTACGATGACCCTACATAGTATATGTGTCGTGACGTCGTGACGCCGTTCGCCGGAATCGGATAATTGTAGTATGACTATGAATTGTTGATGATGCACTTATTATTTGAGATCCCGGTGCAGCGAACTTTCACCCAACACATGTTTTTTCTCATCTATGCACGCATCATTTATTCGTTTATTTGCATGTTGTTACTAGAGGTGTAAGATACAACGACGAACGTCCTCCTCGGGCTCGTCCTCTGCGTTCAAATAGATTCGGAAAGTCTAGTTGCAAGAGGCGTCTCTCATCCTGCTGGTACTGCCACACATAGATGTCAACAACACACTTCTACCATCAATATGTACGTTCACGTCATGTAACGACGAACCGCTGTGTTTACAGGATGAGCACTTGCAATCATGAATGCATCTCGTGTGGCGTTTAACAGTTTTAACTGTAGACTGCGTCGCTTCCGCTTGTCACCTTTGTGCCTTCATTTCCCGAAGAACATTAGCCTGCTGTTTGTTGTCCATCGACCACGCGACGTTGATTGCCTCGCACGAAGACAGCCCGTATATGTTATCTTGAAGCTCAGACTTCCGACGAATGGTATGTTGTTTGCATGTAGGAAACATGGCACATAACATACCCGTTCCTGACCATTCTCAGAGGAGATGTATTCACGGTATCGTTGCACTCAGGATTGAGGTGTTTTCTGCATCTCCACAGAACCCGAAAGCTCTCAGCGAAGTTTGCGCGCTTGTTCCATCCTGCCATGGCTATAGTGAGCACAGTCCATGACTCCCTCAGGCATTGGGGCCAGCAGAGCGGCAAGATTCCTCGACGGCCATGCCCAACTCCTAGCAATGTATCGAGGAGATGGAATGGCAGAACCTGAAACTTCCTCACGTCCAGGGCCTAACACACGCTCACGTTTCAAGCCAAGCAACACCCAACGGCGATGCTTGCCGAACACAACAGCCAACAACACGCACTCCTGCCGAGGGGGCAATGCGCCATGCACGATCGATCCCTTCGTAAGTCGGCCGTGTTTTCGCAACCCAGGTATCAAAGTTTTGTCACGATATCAACACGCCACCATATACAAACCCAGCAGCCTGCCACTGCTGCTGCTGCACTTCAAGAGGTCTCGTAAGCTAAAATCCGCGAAAAAAAGCCACGCCACCCATACTCATTGATCAATGAAAGAGTCTTGACAAAACAACGCCTGAAAACATCATACGCCAAGCTCCGAACATAAACATATACTGAAGTAGTCCACAGCAATAAAATCGGCAGAAGTTGGATGGCGATGTACCCGCCGCGTTACTCGTCAGTCTTGGCTGTGCTCCACACGAATCACGGTAGCCGGATCGATCCCTTCCAGCAAGAAACAATCCTGAGCGGCGTTAGCGCCAAGAAAGAAAGCATGCAACGAAAACACGTCAGGGAGGTGTTGTTCCTTCATTCTTCGCTTCCTTCAAGACCCACATCAGAAGGGACTACCGTAGACCACACAAGATACCACACACCCCGGACCGCTTTGCAACGCTTGAATACGGCCTGATTGCGATCAACAACCGCAGTGCGGAATTGCGTGGTGAAAGAGCCGGACAAGATAGACCCGCCCATCCTCACCTCAGCTTCTTCGCCATGAGGGTTCTTGACCCTGTCTTCCACGATGCGTTGGCTGAAGTAGACCTGGTAGGGTATTGGGAGATAGGGTATGATATAACAGATACAGTATAAGAGACTGAGGTGCTGTGGGATGGATTAGAGACAAGGGGCGAAGGAGCAAAGAGAGCTATAAGGAGATCGAGCAGTCTCCGTCGCAGGTTTTGGCTATTACTGTAAGTAAGGATGTTGGATAAAGCATGCAGTAAAGGAAGTTGGGTAAGGGTTAGGGATAGGGTTGCGTACTCCCTCAGTGTTCTATTTCCTCATACACTTAATTTCTCGCGAAGACGGTCTAGATAGAGACAAGGGGAAATGGAGTAGAGAGAGACTTACGGAGAAGAGTCACAACGCAGGGGGTGGGAGGGAGATGGAGAGAGAAATATATATATATATATATATAGAGAGAGAGAGAGAGAGAAAGGAACACGGGGTCGACCACAGCAACCTCCAAGTCGAGCAATGGATGCATCTCCCTGAAACCGGAGACTGCGAACCGCAAGGAGACTTCCAAGACAATCACTACTCTTGCTGACCAATCACGGTGGTGTCGTGGGTAATGAGAGGAACATCGTCACCGGGCCAAGCTCGTGTTGCGGCATAGTGCACCGCACGAGGCAAATTGTAGCAAGGGCCAGACACAAGCGAGACGTCTCACCTCGTCTAGCACCCGCACAATGCGGCACGACCCGCCCGACACTGATCCCCCAGGTGTTTGCCGGATGAAGCAAGGATGCGAAGACCGTACAAATGTCGGTGTGTGGGGGAAGAAGACGGCCAAGCACAGGTGTAAGCGGAATCAGTAGTGCAACCTTTTCATCGCCCACTAGCACAAAATGTTGATCTATGCCCGATACGAGGAACACGGCGTAAAGAAGGTTGCCTGCTGCCACCATTAATTCTACGGTCCACGCGTGCTACCAAAAAAAAATCACGGCTGGCCAGCGTCACGTAGCCCCCTCAGAACCCATGTGCACACGGCGTATATTCTTCCAGAGAGCACGGCCTTTTTCGGTGGGAAATGCATCTAGAGATGAGTTTCACGCTGGCCTCGGGGCCGATGCGCCAACTAGAGAGCGTGTTTCGCCGACTTACAAGACACGGGCTGCGCCTCTTCGTCGTGGAAGAACAGGTTGGGGCCAGACTCTGTCCGGGTTAGCAGCGGTTGCAACTGGGTCCCGAAGAAACATCGGGACATGGGGGAGAGAGCGAGGGAGATACGGCAGCTGTTGAAGTCCGTATCAGACTAATAGGTCCAAAGCTCTGCCGTCAGTAACTCCCACACGCGTAGAGCTGGGTTGACTTCAAGTTTGGACGGCAGCCCACACCGCGGGCAAAGCAAAGTCCAAACGTCTGTACTTTAAAGAACGTGTTGGCGGTTCTTCCGGCACGTTGAGTGAACTGGGAGCTGCCAAGCCCGCTGAACCAGCCAGTTGGCTCTCTTTCCGTGGGAGTTTAGCGACCTTCCCCTGCCATCCCCTCACCCTAGCAACCAAGAACACACCGCGTGCTCCAGAAAAGTCCCGCTGGATCGTCGGTTTGTCCAGATAGGTATTTTGTGGGGCTTCGATTTTCAACCTCGTGCGATGTCAACTGCACAGTCTAAGCTCCCCACCTTCCCTTCTCCAATGTATGACGCGAGCTCCAAGCTGCTCTCGTCATCAGGCCCGCTGCGATATTCAACCACGTCAAGCTCCAACAAACTTCCCTGCTTGTTATGCACATGTAGGAATCGGTAAGAAGCATCATACATACAAAGGCGGGCGGATTGAGGACCAGCACTCTGAATTACCGGAGACCTCTAGAGCAGTAGACTCATCGGTGCCTTGCCGTTAACTTGTACACCCATAATACGAAGTTGGCTGTAAATCAATGCGCCACCACACCCTGGTTAAAGCGAATTGGTACCAAAGGCACCCATTCGTTGATGTGAAGAGTCCTCAATTTCGCAGTGGATGTGGTGGTTTGTTTGTTGGGTGCGAGACAAGGGGGGGTGGTGTCTTCCGTGTGGCATCCCTTCAGTCGACACATTATCTCATACGCTTACGTTTTGCTTTTCAAATGACCAGTTGGGCGAGGCAACACGTATCGTCACACCTCCCACCCATTCTTTGCTGATCGTGTAGCTTCGCTGTCCTCTGCTGCTAGAGCTGTTGTTGGCCGTGGTCGGCGGCGACACCTGGGCCGGAGTGATGATGATGTTGCAGTCGTGAGTCGACCTTCGACAGCAGCAGCAGCAGCAGGCATTGCTGCAGCAGTGCTGGCGCTACCCGCCCGCGGGGGGGATGGAGGCGCCAAGAAAGCTTGCGACAACTTTAGTGGAAGTACGCAAAGTATTGTGACACACACCGCGGGCGTCGACTTCATCATGCGAGCGAGGGTGGGCTGGCTTTAGTGGGATCATGATGATCACATTGCATTTGCTTTTGGGACCGAAGCAGGGGGGATACACAGCGAATAACTAAGTGGGGGGTTTACAACCTCAGAGCACCTTTCGCGTGCCCCCTAAGCCAAGGCATCGTCGCCGCACGACCACCACAGGGCTCGATCCACACCGCTGCATTACATCTCCGACACTTTCAGCTGACTACGGGACGTGCGTGCTACGATTGTGGCGTTGAGTGTGCAAGACTTTCTTGTGACGGCCGGGAGACAGCAAGCAAAGGTTTTCAATTTTTGAAATCTAATCTTGCTGTGCGGTAGATAGCTTTGTCGGGGTGCAGTGGTCTCTCGGAACCTCGCGCGCGCGTGAGCACTGGGTCAGGGTGCGGCGAGCCTACCGCTGCACACACCCTTGTGCCGACAGCCAGCTTATCCTTGCCAACACGGGTGGTGGCAGCGAGAGCGGGAGCACCGACCATGGGCCGCAGCAATCGCAGAAGGCAGTGGATGGGGCTGCTTGCAACGGCGGTCGTCCTGCTGTCACCATCTCGGGGGGAGCAGCAGGAGGAGGCTACTGCGGTAGAGAGCGAGAGCGCTGCCGAATTGCCCGAAAACTGCCAAATCCTCAAGACCACGACGAACTATAAGTGAGAATATGCCTCCTCCGCGGAGATAATTTTGTTGGGTACGATGTGCTTACCGTATGTACCACACTATCCACAACAATGATTCAAGGATTGCCTTGCCAGGAACAACCATGGGAGATGATCATGTGTGGGGCGCAGGCCTGGCGACATGTCGCCGTTACTCCGTTAGTACGTACTGCTGTAGGCACAAAAATAGAGCCAGTGACGTTGTATTGGTCACCGCACCCCCTCTGTTCGATCATCTAGTCGTCTTTCCTCGACGGCGGGAAGCTTTTGATCAGAAAGGGTTCACGTTGGGAAGATCTTGTAATATATTTATTTAGCCTATAGACTATATACCCTGGGCGCAAACATTCGGCAGGGCAGCAAATTGGACGCCCGACGAGAGAACAGAGGATACGTATCTTGTGCGAATAGCATGGCTTCAGCAAATCGAGTCGGTTCAACGTGTTATGCGATGAATTCATGCTATGTATACGTCTCGCGTCTGGTACATGCACGTGCGCAGGCGCAAGCTTCAAAAGGGTGCCGCACCAGAACGCAGCCAAGCAGATGAAGTCCCGCACTTGCCGTGCCATTGCTGTTATTTTGATACTTCTTTTTTTTCGAGACCCGCGCGGCTTGTGCGTACAGGCGATCACTACAACATGTTTCGTAGACCTGTTGAAGGATTTGGATTAGCTGCAAGGCTTTATGTATCGTGGAAATTCCTGGCGACCGGTGTGGTTGTTCAGTCAACGCCCCACATCGTTCCTCTAGGACTATGTACTCGATTTCGCTCAGGGTGTGTGTCGTCCTTTTGCTGTCGGCAGACAAGAAGATGCGCCGACCGATGTCTCCGGTCTCATCGGCGAGATCTACGACCGCGTCAACGAGGACCTTGACGATGTCCTCAAGCTCGACATCAACTACGTCGGCGGGGTGATCCACAGGTACCACATGGCGAGGCTTCATTTTAATTTGCGCCGCCCCCTAAGTTTACCAGGCGGTGACTTCCCCTAGAAGCGCGGTTGTTTGTGGATGTTACTCTCGTGTGGTTTTGGTTGTTCCGGTGGTACGGTGGGTAACCAACCCGGTGCCATGTAGACCTTCGACAGAGGTTGCCCGGTTCTATACGGGATAACCTGCAGCCCTGCCTGGGTTCCATGGTCACGCTCGTTCCACTTGACAGTCCCCCCGGTGGTGGTCAATTGTTACACCAGCGCAGCGTTGAGTTATCACCATTCGTAGACCTGTCGTAGAACGAATCTGTCCCTGGGGCAAGAGACCAAGCGCGCCAGAGGCATGATGCGCGAGCTGGGGAGATTTCCTGCGTGTAAAGGCCCCCTTTTTTGCACCCATGTGGTCCGTCGGATTCGAGCAGCGAACGCGTTTCGAGGAAAAACCTTGGTGCCGCAAACGATTTTGAGCATTCTTGACCTTCTCAAGGCCCAATCAAGCTGTACATCAGCTCCGAACCCCTTCTAGCCCCTTCACATCCGACTTGTTGAAGTTTCGAGGCTTGTATACTACTGCTCTTGGTGTCCATGTCCACCCGTGAAATACCAACGGTCCTTGTGTTTGTGTGCGGCGGCGGGCCTGACGTAACCAACAGGCTCGTGGGAAGGCACGACGTTCGCGCCACAGTTACCCGCCGGAAAGAGAACGGAACGGAGTTGCAGGAGTGCATGGTGGTGCCGGTGGTGATCGAGGACAGCAACGAGTGCACCCTTCCCGAGAGGCATCCGATGCACCACGAGTGAGGGCTTGGGGTATCAAGCGGCATTACTGGCTACCGTGTGGTTGTTGGTGCTTTGTCGAGTTGTGTGCTTTATATATGCGTATTGTACAATCACAGAAGTTCTATCCGTTCGAGACAATACTACAGCAGTCAAGGGGGCGTGTTGAAAGTCTTTGCAGTGAATGGGGGAGAAAGCCTGCCGGGCACTGGGTATATTTTTGCGTGGATTTATGCCTATAAACTGAAATATCAGTGATGCCAGCTGGTGTCGATCTTGTGTGTTGCAGGCGATTTAGAGATGAGTGCGCTCTCTGTATGGTCCATGCACGATGCACGGCGAAGGGCAGACTTGCTTGCTCTGTGGCTGTGGGATGTACAAAGTTTCGATATGAGAACGTGGGTTGCGTGCCGTGCCTTGCCGTGCGTGTCAAGAGGTGCTGGTGTTGTGCGCAACAGCTTTTCTCTTGGCGGCGTTTGATTTTGTTTTCAAACCTGGTGGCGAAACCTGGCGCAAAGTGTTTGTCTCTTCCGGCAACGAGCACCCTCATGCAGACGATCAATCATAATGCATAGCAATCGAAGACGGGGGCAGAGAGAGAAGACTTGTGAGGAGTGCAAGTTTTTACGGGTAGAGCACCGCCATACTGTTCTCTCTTTGCCGGTTCTTGGCTCTTCATCGACCAGCGTCTTGCAGCACGCTGCAACAACGCTGTACGAAGGAGAGAGAGAGACACACACACAGGATGGGGGGAGGGAGTGGGGGAGAAAAAGGCCGGGAGTATGTAGGGCAGGCACAGCGGCAGGGGTAGGGGGTGGGAGAGCAACAGGAGGAGCACAGTGGACAGCCACGTTTCCGTCAATGGTGGACGGTAGGTATACTACGGCACGAAACGACTTACGAGTAGTTTATCTACACCTCACCGCGAATATCGGCCGGTGCTATTCTTATCCCAACGGCACAGGTGCCACGCAAGCGCGGAGTGCGTGAACACGATCGGATCGTACGAGTGCTCGTGTCCGGGGAGGGAGGCATGTGTCCCCAGGTCGGGGCTAGGGTACTGCACGGGAATCAACTCCTCGGCTGATTGCTGCACGGTCGACGAGGAAAAGGTAGGCACAAAGAAGCGCCTGCCGCGTTGGAAACTGTTGTTCGAATGTACAAGGTTGTCCCTCCGGAGTTGGCTAATGAGAGCACGCTGTCATGAAGGTGTGATACACGCGATGAAAGTAAGAGCTCACCGATGGAAGTAAAAGCTCACAGCGGACTGCCAGCCGCGGTTTGAAGTTCCCACAGCTGACGTGTTTTCCACTCGAACAGCCCGGCGACCCTCAAAGAATCGAAAAGACGTAATTACAAACCTGTGTGTCCAGTCTTGCGAGGACCAACACATTGTGTTGCGCAGCAGCCCTTTTTGGTAGAAAGCCGAGAGGGCGGTTGTCGCCGCTTCTGGGGGGCAAGCTGTGCGATGAGCCCCTCGGATAGGGGATGTAGTCCTTGTGCCCACGTGTGTACACACCTTCTTGAGCCACGTGCAGCATGGTACCGCCGTGGGGGAGGGGGCGAGACTTTGCCCTCATTCCAGTCGCGATGGCCCTAGCTCAAGTCCAGTGTGTTGCACGATGGGGGGGGTGAATAGCGTAGATAGAATTCTAGACAGTTGTTTTGGGTGCATGTGACGGGTTGGTAATCTAACGGCCTAGTACAGCTGGATTGATCGGGCTTCGATTGAAGCGGCGCTGCCTGGGCCTTGTTTAACCGCTTTTGAAGGAAGATTCCGACCCCCAACCTCTTCGCCTGATTCCTGGGTACCAGGAGTTTGCTTCTCCCAAGCTCCTCCTCGTGCTTTCAGCGAAGGCCTCACGTATCGACTCTTGCTTGCTAACAGTATTATTTTATTGTGTTCTCACGTTCTGGCTTTTTTCTTGTTTTGTTCACATTCCATGGCCTTTTGAGCAGAGACCGAACGGGTGCCGCGACAAGACATGCTCCCACGACTGCCGGAGAGACTTCCGGTGCTACACCGACCAGTGCGAGGGGAAGTGTGTATACCCGGACAGTTGCAAGAGCTCGTGAGTATCTGTGTGTGTTTTTATTATTAGCATCGACCGCGCTAACCGGCTGACCAATGAAAAGACGTCCGTCTTAGTGCGGTTGAAAACACGAAACACTTCGATCTGCCATGAACTGGGACCCCGTGAGGGGGCAACATGGGGGAGGGTAAACTATCCTTCGGATCAAAGACAGAAACGGCAGCAACAGAAGAAAACTGGACGCGTCTACCAAAGCCATTACCTTGCACTCTAGTTCGTTTAGGAGTACTTTCACCATTATCCTCCTTGTTTTCGCTCCCATCATTCTGATAATCATTTTGACAAGAATCTCTGGGCAGTTCTTCCCTAGCCCTACGTTTTTTGTTTTGGGGAAGGTTATCTGGCTCAAACCCTTTGCTCTCTTCCACTCCTCCATGTTTTCCTCCTCCATCGTCGTCTTCGTCCTCCTTTCTTCCCTTTCCCTTTCCTTCGTCTCCGTCACTCCCAAAAGAACTACTCTCACTACTATCGTTGTCGCAGAGATCCCAACCGATTGGCCCTGGTGGAAGTTGGTCGATCAGTAGCCCATGACGTTTGAACACATCGCGAGTTCGCATCGACAGAAAAATTGTGTGTGATTGTCCGGATATGTAGCTGCAAAAGCTTGTGGGTGTTTGCTTGGGTCTGTGAGTGTGTTGTGTGTGTTTTGAAGGTACATCGACCGTGCAAATAACCAATGAAAATGAAAAGACGTCAGTCTTGCAGCCTAGCGGGATATGAAAGGCGAACACGCTTTCTGTGAGTGGGAGTGTGCACGCGCCGACAGGTGTTGCTCAGAAAGGACTGATGGGTTCGGTCTCATGAGGGACGAATTTTCAATTTTGGAATTTTCTCGTAGTGGAGGTGTCGATAAGAAAGAAGAAACATGCATGTGTATGACACTCGGCAGTTCAGTTGGGGAGCTCAGAACGATAGCAGGGTGATGACAGCCACACCAACGATACAGGCCACCATCGAGAGTTTGACGAAAAGAGACTCGCGTTTTTGTCCTGTTTTGGCTGCGGTGACACCAATAGTTGAAAGGGTGGCTGGCTGCCCCTTTCTGCGCCGTCTGAGGGTAGTCACACGCCGCCCAGACCCACCTTGCCTCAAACACGTGAAATTTTGCACCATCCGTGTGCCCCTTTCGCATGGTGCTATCCTATACCGAGGAATACGGTCGGTTGCATTTTTTATTATGTAGTATTATAAATAGTATAACAGCCTTCACGCTAGCATGTTAAGCTTGGTTTTAGCAAGGGATAGGGTTAGGGATAGGGATACGAACCCCCCCTCTCTATTTCACATACAATGCTTAATATCCTCTCGAAGGCAGTCCGCATATATTGACCCCATGGGTTTACTATGAAATATACGTGGTAACACAGAAAGACTAGACGTTCGAGATATACCCACTGCCGAAAAGGATGTACTCAAGTCCTTTCAGTGAGTGGACGGAAACCGGCTGGAAACTGGGCTTATTTTTGAGTCTGTTTAAGCCTGTGCACTGAACTATACCAGTGATACCAGCTGGTGCTATGTAGAAAAGCATCTGCATAGGTGGATACATTTAACAATACATGCCCTGTAGTTCTCTACTGGGTCAACGACAAATATGGGTTCATGATTGTTCTCTATCTCGCCCGTGTTGCTCATTGGCTCATTGTCCGGCCCGCCTCGCTGGACATTTTTTTTTTCCCTCTCTCCTTGGTCAGCCGCGGCATGGTAACCTGCGCTTGCCAAAACGAAAGCGAGGTCGGCAACGGGCACGTCTGCCCGGGGGAGACGCCAGAGGTCTTGACGGTGAGACGGGGGGGGGGGGGCACGTGCACTCCACGGGGATACTTTTCGTTCGCACTTTATTTTTTTTCCCCTCTGTAGGTCAGGGTAGCGTGCGTGGTGTTGCAGCACTCACCCAAATCACCTTGGGAAGGCGTGTCTGCCTTTTGTTCGCAGCACGCACACGGTTTTGCTTAGTTCCATGTACCGCTTGCTTGAAGCCGGGGGTGACCCTCTTTGTTGAGGAACGCACGTTGCCGCAAAGGACGTGCGAAAAAACTTCAAAAATACACAACCACTGAAAGACTACCCGTTCTCTTGCAAGCACGGCATGATGGCGGGTAGAAAGCATGGCCGCCTACGCGTCAGTAATGAGATGCCGCCGCCACCATTTTATACCACGCTGCCATGGGTATTCACATTCGAAGGGGTGCCGTTGCGTGTAACGGTAAAAAGGGTGTACCGCTGATACTTGCGTATCATGCTTGTTCGATGCTGTCGCTGCTGGTACGCGGAAGGCTGTCGTGCCGTACAATTACCGCGTTGTTGTTGTTGTTGTTGTTGTTGTTGCTGCTGCTGCTGTTGTTGTCTTCGCATTAAAAACCGTTCCGATATCTTTGCCCAATACCCTTGTTCACTGCGTACTGACCCGTGTAGGGACAATATTTTCACCGCGTTGTCCACGTCGCATCAACCACCCGACTGACTTTTATGTGCGTTGTCTTGGATCACGCGGCGTCGTCTTGAAGGATGCCAGCGGTGCCTTCCTGGCAGACTTGGATCCCTCCAAGGTGTGCGGGTGTCAGGTGCCCAAGGTGGACTTGTGCCACGACGTCAGCTGCGGCCAGCATGCCACTTGCAGGTGTGTACATGCCCTGCGTGAATAGAACCGTTATGAGGGGACGAAACCCGTGAAGGCGTGCGAAGTATCGCGGCACACGGTGCAAATCGCTACTGCTAGTGTTTGTTCCAGAAAATATATTACCCGTTCGAGATGTTTGTTTATTTCTGGTGGCTGACATCCAAGACGTGCGGATTTTTCCGCGGATTTTCCTGCATTTCTGAGCTTTGATTTGAGCAGCACAGTTTTCGACTAGTACAGACAGACGAAGGTACCTGATAGAGAAATCGGAACGGTTGTTGAGGTGAAGACAACAACAATAAACAATGTCGCGACCGGCGACCTGTAGCATGAAGGGAGTCTCTCTGAAGTCGAAAACAAACAGAAATCAACGACGGGAACTTCCTCGATTTTTTCACTCTTCCTCTGGCCTCCCCGAAGGCTTTGCGGGTCGTCAACCATTCGTCGGGAAGCGTTTGTTTTCTGAGTGTTGTCCGTTGCGGTACCTGAAATATAGTCGTGCCTGCGGAACGTGAAGCGTTTGGTTACATGGGATGCGCGACCAATCCATGGTATTTCTGGTTTGGCAAAGCGAACGCAAGGGCGTCGACCAGCTTGTGGTTAATCCTCGTGAAACGTGTAGCCGGGGCCGGCGAAAACCCGGCATATCGCTCCGTCCCGGCATGCGATGTCAATGGTCTAATGACTACGGCATGCGTTTACGTCAGTACATCCGGCCACCATATCGCTCCGTCCTGGCATTGTAGGCATGCGAGGTCAATGGTCGAACGACTACGGCACATACACCTGGCTACCATATCGCTCCGTCCCGGCATTGTACGGATGCGAGGTCAACGGTCTAACGACTATGGCATGCGTTTACATGAGTGCACCCGGCTACCATATCGCTCCGTCCCGACATTGAAGGGATGCCAGGTCAATGGTCTAGCGACTACGGCATGCGTATACATGAGTACACCCGGCTACCATATCACTCCGTCCGACTTGCGAGGTTAATGGTCTAACAACTACGGCATGCGTTTACATGAGTACCCCCCCCCCCCTCCTCCGAGCAGTGAGGGGAAGTGTCAGTGTGCGCCGGGATACAGCCATGTTCCAGACCTCGGTTGCATGGACGAGAGACCTGTCTGGCTGGATCTCAAGGGTCCCACCCACCTCACCATGAAGCAGTGCGACAAGTACGTGGAGCACGGGGTGCAGGTTGTGGACGCCAACTCTGAGAACCACGACAGGTATGTGTGCGTGCGTGTACGAACCAACCACAAGGGTTTAGCGTACTTGACCGCAGGAGAAATGTCTGTTGTTGCTGTTGTTGCTGTTGCTGCTACCACCGTCATGAATGATGTTTGGCCTCGAAGTGACACCCATTTCTTTCAGCAATTGAGAATCCCCCCCCTACCGGCTGATATCGATAGGATAGGGAAAATATTTCTTCACCACCTTTGTCAAAGTAGGAAGGAGTGATTGGTGATCGGTCCAGTGGGGGCAATGCTCCGTCCTCTCGAGGACGCGTGGTCTAGCAGCTAAGACACGCAGAACATGTGTCCCCCCCCCCACTTCCGGCTTACTTTTTCGCACCAAACCCCAACAGAAACGTTGGTGTGTCCTACTCCAAGCCTCCCGGAAAGTGTGCCTCGGAAATGGGTACGTTCACGGTAAACTACACTCTCAACACGGAATGGATGGACCCCCCTGTCCAGTACATCTTACGCCACGTGAGTTATTGTTGGGTCGCTGTATGGCTATTATCACTTTCTGTCGCCTTGTCTTTTTTTTTGTCTTCGTCGGGTATTTCGGTTCTCGCTTTTTTTCTGTTGGCTATATAGATAATAACTCGTTGCCGTGTTGTTTTACTCGGGGCTTTTTGGTCCCCTTTCTTTTTTTGCGATGATTGTGTGTGTTTATGTTTGCGTTGGTGCTGTCCAAACCAATGCGCGCGCGTGTGTGTTTGTGTTTAGGTTAGCTGTGTCCTAGCCAAGACACTGGGTTAAAATCCTCCAGCCGTTCCGGATACCCACCGTCAGACAGAGAGATGTTTGCGCGGTGTTCTTTGGCAATAGCGGTGTTCCGTGTTGTGGCCAGACGTGTGACAGACGCTTGACATGCTCGACTCGGAAATAGTGTAGGAGTATGGACGTATGTAGGGCGGTCTCATTTTGGTCTGTCTGGCACACGACGGAAGGCGGGGTGTTGCTGCTTGGAGAAGGTCGGAGCAATCTGGAGTTACGCTGAAGTAAAGAAATCAGATCTGTATTTCGAAACGACGAAAAAAATAGCGACGAAGACGACGACGAACATAAACAACAACAACAACAACAACAACAACAACAACAACAACAACAACAATAACAACAATAACCACATAAGTGATAGCACCAACGACGAAGACATCGGCAACGATGACAATAACCCGCAACGACTGAACAAAAAAAATAATAGGTCACCGTGGAAGACGTCGACGAGTGCGCCTTGGACATCGGGTCCCCGCAGGCTGCCTGCTACGGGTGCAAGCCCAGCTGCCACAAGCACGCCAGGTGCGAGAACAGGGTGGGCACGTACACCTGCCAGTGCCCCGCGTGCATGGGCGGCGACGGCTTCGAGCCCTTTACGCCGAGGAAGTCGGGGACGCTTCCGGCGGGGTACGACGGAGGTACCGGCTGCAAGGATACGTGCGCTCCCGTCATCACGCTGATTGGTGAGCGGCATTATGTAGAGTGGTCTTCGCGGTTTTTTTCTACGAAGCAAACATGTTGGATAAAGCTTACAATCGGGGAAGTTGGGTCAGGGTGAGGGTATGGGAATAGGGTCTGCGTACCCCCTCCCTGTTCTATTTCCTCGTTAACTTAACTTCTCGCGAAGGCGGTCCGTGAGCAGTTGCTGCCGTTGTTGTCGTTGTTGCCGATGTTGTGTAGTCGCCTTGTTGGTGGTGGCGGTTGCGGTGGGGTTTATGATGATTGGTATCGATCCTCGATTGTTGTTGTGGATGGTTTTCTTGATGTCATCGATATTGTTGTTTTATGCTCAACAATCCTGAAAAGAGACCCCGTGATGTATGAAGCAGAGGGTGAGTACCGTCTGCGTGTCTACCACCCCGGCTTGAAGGCAGTCGCGCAACGACTTGGCCACAAGTCCAAGAAACCAACCCAAGACTTGACCCCCGTTACTACCACCGCCGCCGACGAAGAGATGTTGGTTGCGACCTGTTGCTGTGTTTCGATTTTGTGTTCGTCGTTCGCAATCTAGCCGTCTCTAACTCTTGTCTTCCTACCTACCCGGCAAATTGCGCTGTGAGCGCTGATTTTGAAACCATTCGAAAAAAAAAACTGAAGAATTCATTCCGGGGGCCACGCAGATTGATTTCTTGGCCTTGGCGCGATAACAGGCTCTTCACTTCCTTCCCTGTGACTGGCTCCGAGGTCAATGCCATCAATGTTGCCGTCTGTTGCGGTGCGGTGCAGGCGCCATCACCTGCATCGTTGGTCACGGGAGCGGTTGTTGTTGGTGTGTCAAAAGAGACTACTTGTGCTAGCTGCTGGGTTTTGTGTTGTGGTCAAAGCTTGTAGCGACGATGATTTGATGTTGTTTGATGTTGTTTGATGTTTTTTTGTGTTCTCAGAGCTTGTGGCGAAGCTGATCCGTTGTTGTTGTTATTGTTGTTGTTGTCGATCGATGCAGGTGACGACCCTCTAGTGATGACGGTTGGCCTCAACACGGACATCGCTGGGAACCCGATCAGGGGCAAGGACTACACACAAGAGCTGGCCAGTCTCATTACGAGGACCGCGGGAGGGGTAAGTCGTTCTTCTCGTCGTATACCGTGGTATATGGTATTCCGTACCATATACCGTACCGTAGACGAGAATCGCGGGAGGGATGATTCGCTCTTTTCGTTATTTACCGTGGTTTACGGTATTCCGTACCGTATTCCGTAGTGCGTAGTGCGTAGTCGGTAGGAGTGCGAGTGATCGCACACAAGCCCTATACCGCCGTTCAAGGCTCGATTGCTCCGCAACCAAAGAGGGTGTGAACGTGTGAACAGAGACGACAGTCCGTGCCAGGAAGTCTCCCTCTCAACGATATGTTTCAAGATACCACGGCATGCCGTG